TATCTATCTATCTATCTATCTATCTATCTATCTATCTATCTATCTATAACTTTTCAGACGTTTTTAAGACATAGAAGCCCGAAGGCTGGGGATTTCCCTGACTCGCCTCTCTCTTTTCTGTCCCACAGAGAAAGAAGTGAACGAACTGATGGAGGAGCTGTTCGAAACGGTAAGTCCTTCCGTATGGAGCGAAATCCAGGGAAGCCCCCGGTCCTCAAGGAGGCCATCCCTTCTTCCCGTCTTGTAGAAAACCTCGGCCTCTTTGAACTCTGCAAGCTGCCTGCTTGTAAACTCAGATTATCCCCAAATCAGTTTCAGGATGAAATCGGCTTCCCCAGCCTGGAGGATGACGGGCTGGAGGACGAAGAGGGCGCTGCTGAGGCCCGGCCGAATTTTAATACCCCTCAGGTGCTCAGGTAAGGACAGCATCACCTGCCCTCTTATATTCATCCTGGTTTTAACAGACAGGTGTCCGTCAAACAGGATAAGGGGGGGGGGGCGTTTCTCCTTTCGTTCCTTGCTTCCTTTGCAGGCGGCCCTCGATTTACGTTCCCAAATAGCAGAATTTCTGTCGCTAAGCAAGACCATTGTCAAGTGATTTGCTCTCAGTTTTAGGATTAGGAATATTCCTTATTAGCTGGATATCTGGTGCTTTGCTACGAAAGCATGTGATGGGGCTTAGTTTTTGGGGGGAGGAAAACGAGGAAAGGAAAATTCTGCCTCTGCCTACCAGCATCCAATTCATCTGGCTAGCGTCTAGTCAGCGTGTGAGAGAGTTGAGGGCCGTTTGGAAACTAAAACAGTTTTTGATGGGTGAGCAAGAAGGAGACAGCAAGGAGCCTTGGGCGTGGCTTAGCTTAACTGTTCTGGACTAAAGCTGCTTGGTGCTGTGAAACTGAAACTCCTCTGCATATGTTTTGCATTTGGAAGAAATTTCTTCTCAGGTGGGGAGTGAGAGAGTTGAGGGTTGTTTGGAAACTGAAAGAGTATTTGCTGTGTGAGCAAGGAGGAGACAGCTAGGAGCCTGGGTGTGGCTTAGCTCAACTGTTCTGTACTGAAGCTGGTGGCTGCTATGAAACTAAAACTGAAACTCCTCTGCTTGGGTTTTGCATTTGGAAGAGATTTCTTTCCGGGTGGGGAGGGGGAGTAGAACTCCTTAGCATCAGAGAATAATAATAATAATAATAATAATAATAATAATAATATAGGGGATATTAATGCTCTGAGGGTCATTTGGAAAAATCCTTTCTTAGCGAGCCCCTAGAAGCCAAGAGGAACCTACGCGCCCAATTTCAAGTTTGTAGGCTTTACGGTTCTGGAGATTTTGTGATGATGCGTATATAGCGGTATTTCGCTTTCATAGATATAGATTAGCCCTTGTGTTCGGTCGGTCGGTGGGCAATCCATAGCCTTCCCCCCTTTCACTGAACTTCCAACTCCCAGAATGCCTCGCTGTTCGCAAGGCACGCTGGGAGTTGAAGTTCCACACCGCTTTCCTCCCTCTGTGCTGATAGGATGTGGGGAGGGGCTGAGGTCTCCCTGTCTGTGGGGCAGGGGGCCTAAAAGGAACGGCACCCCTGTTTGGGAAGGGAGACAGAGTAACACCGGCTGGGCCTTGCCACCCCTTCTGAACCGAGCAGTATCAGAAGCGGAGGGCAAGATCACCTCTGCCTAGCTAACAATCGGAGAACCGGGCGCAAAGCAATACACAATTCCTCAGCTTGCGAGCCCTCCCCAATTTCCGCTGCTAAGCGAGACAAGCCGTTCAGAAAGTTTCACCCCGCCGCATGCGCAAGAGAAGCCTTTTGAGGCGCCGTCCTTCCTGACACACAACCCCCCCAATCCTATGTGTTATGTCTCACCTTTCCAAGGAAGATGAGAAGTCCAAACTCTGACCAAATCCAAGCAGGCAAAAAGATTCGGTATTTACAGAGTTAATTCCCTTAAGCAGGCAACGCTCTTGGCAGTATCGCACACGCTGCCAAGTCCAATGAGATAAACAGAAACAATTAATCACGAAAGCTTTCCAGAAACAAGATACACCGAAGCTCGACAGAAAATTCACACTTTTGTCCCGTACGGAGTTCCCAGAGCAAACACACCCACTTTTATTCCCTGTGGGGTTGTGTCAATAACTCAGTCTCTGATTCGTCCACGTCTCCTGCGTTGCAGCTCACACTTTTTCCTGCGACGCTGCCTAGCATCAAACCAGCATTCGTCTACCTTGATTCTCTCTGTCAAAGGCTGCTCCGATATGCCCTCCTCATTAGCCTCAGGGTCTCCCTCTCGGTTATCGGCCGAAACCTGAGGCATAACCAGGGAGGACGGCATTGCCGAAGAGGAAGGTCCTGGGGAGGAAGGCATTCCCAATTCCACCTCCTCCTCAATATCCGAGTCCTCTTCCTCTTAACAACGCAGACTCAGGGCCACAACGCATATGTGTTATGTCTCCCCCTTAATTGCAGGAGGGCAAAACGAAACAGGCTGTTCACAAACCAAAAAGCAAACTTTCCCAAAAGGACCGTGGAAGGGTTTCCAGTCCTCAGCAATAAATCCAAACTCTGTCCGGCAAACCTGACGTGGCTAATAATCCCAAAGCCGCAAAGAGTTCTCTCCGTGTGTTCACTCCCATAAATCACTTTGCTTCTGGCGAAGCTCGCCAGCCAAGCCATTTCCGTATATCCCCTATGAGGGCGTGTTAATCTCCTTAATTAGTCACTGGCTTGACGCCTCCTTCCTAATTGAGATTGACGCCTCAACTTACGTCTATTATGCACATCTAGCCAGGTTCTTTCCAAAGACTCCTCCCCACTAGAAAAGTCTCGCAAGCGTTCCCGGTTAGCTATTCCCGGCTGTTGCTCAGCCAGAGGAGAAGGATCAGAGGAGGTCGAAGGTCCTGACAGCTCTATGAAATCAGGTTTGTCCCTCCTAGTTACATCCATTTCCTCATCCTGACTGCTATCCAAATCACTCGACAGAGCCGGCTCATAATTTACCGCCATTTCCTCTTCGCTTGAGAGCCCATCTGCCAACGGAAGAGATTCCAACTCCGGAGTCACAACGCACATGTATACGATTAATTCGAAATATCTGAAAACGTAGGAACGCAGCTGAGTTTTTCGCACGGTCCAGGAAGGACGGTGAATCGTACACATTTTATTTTTGTGATAGGTCTATTTGTATTTTCACATTTTAAACCTCAATGAAGGTGTTTGTTTTTTTTAATTTGAAAAGAAGAAACAAAAGAAAAAGGAACGATTTACAAGTTGACACCCTGCCCTAAAAGGACCCCGGTTCTCCAAGGAGGGCGACGAACGCCGGGCAGGTGGGAGGGGGGTTCCCCCGAACCTAGTACACCCACCCACCCACACACACACACACATTTTCACCTCCTTGGTGCAGGTTTGAAGAACCCCTGGCCAACCTGCTGAATGAGCAGCATCGGACGGTGAAGGAACAACTGGAGCAGCTGCGGGTGAAGAAGTCCGCCGTCAAGCTGCCCCAGGAGATGGAGAGGTCCAAGCTGCGGACCGAGAAGGCGGCTCAGACCCTGGCGCTGGACGCCGGGCAGAGGAAGAGGCTGGAGCACCAGATGCAACAGGTCAGATGCCCCGCTGCCTTGGGCCTGGCTCTCCTGGGCCTCTCTTAAGCCCTCCAACCCCAGGCGGGTTGGGTGGTTTTTTTGGGGGGGGGGAAACGGGACGGGCGGGTTGCTGACCACTGACCTTCTCCGCCCAACCGTTTCCAGCACGTGCAGCTTCTGACCCAGGTTCACCTGCTGTCCAGTTGCAACCCGAGCCTGAGCACCGAGGCCAGCACTTCCCGGCTCTTCCTGGTAATTTCTCTCTCTCTCTTTATCCTTGACTTCGCCATCCCGCTCTCTCTCCTCCACCTTCCCCTTCTCCGCCTCTCCTCCTCTTTCTCCTCCT